TATTGCCGATAAAGTGATAAAAAGTGATCTGGATATTGCCGAAAAAGCGATAAAGTAGCAATAAACAATGAAATGTCGCTTCGAAGGTTGTCCAAGTGTATTAAAACTACTTCGTTAGTTGCTTTTTCATTCGTAGTTTTTTTTTCTACTATTTCTCTCTTCATCGGTTTCTCAGGAATCTAGACGACTTGGGAAGCGAGACCAAAATTTGGGTTCGATGAGGGCTTTTCTGGGCTATTTTTTTCGATTTAAAAAGAAAATAGGAGATAGAATTGGTAGACAACAAAGATCGTTGGAAAAGAACTGTGCATAAAGAAGTTGCGCACGCATGGTCGAGGCTTTGTTTACTTTATCGTTCTCAATGTTTACATTCAATTAATCCATGAGGCGACGAGCGTTTTACTCGGTGAAACTGTGTGACCGTTTTACGTTGAATTTACATTTAATTGCTTTTAATTGTATACACAGCTCACGGTGTTGCACCGTTGCCACAGCTTTCAGGGCAGGTACGTTATGAAGGCCTCCATTGACCAGAAGACATATGTACTAATCAAGTTCATTGAATGTTAGGTAAGTTAAAAACTTTGTAATAGTTGTGGTAAACAAATAGATAAACAATAAATCCAACAAGATTCAAAAAGTAACGCAAATGCTACTGTAATGAACGTCGTAAATGCCATTATGTTAGGACTCCTAATGTGAAAACAAATTTCCAGTTTGTAATCGTATTAGTAAATGACATTGGTGATTAGATAGTAAACAAGGCAATGTAGTTTTGATAAATAAAATTACTTTCATTTTGTTCACTCACCGCTATCCCAGAGACAAATGAATTTGTTAACAGAATAGATACTATAAAATAAAAATAAATGTCATGAAATGATTTAGGTGACCGTATTACAAGGTAGCGTACGTTGTCGGCAAGGGGGGTAACGCCTTTGAACTGATAATGGGAGCGCATTGTGCTCGAAAGAGCGCGTCGCGAAAAACCGCCCAGAAAGATCAATCAATTGATCTTTGTTCGAACAGCGTGACGTTTGTAGTGTGGTCAAAGGCATTCACCTTACTATCAGATGGAATCCTCGTTCAAGCTCTTTTGCTGCAGTGATTATTAAATTTTTTGTTAAATTGTAGAATTATTTCGAACTGAAATGTAAAAGTAACGAGAAATAAACAAACAAACAAACGACTATCTAAGAAGTTAAAGTTGATAAAACATTGATGTGCAATGGTACTACTTTCGGTTGTTACTATTTTCCATTTTATTTATATTTTATTTTTCGTTTTTTTCTTTCATTATATTCAACCTATTTTCAGGAAATTTAGAGAACAAAAATTAAATTTGATAAACTTTTATGATCTTTTTTTCAATTTTTCCAATGCAGTAAATGAAAGAAAGGGAAAGGATGGATCGCGGATTACTGTAAAAGGGTTTGTTGATTAACTAAATGTTCCTAGCTATTTTACTAAATTCTACAGGTTATTGAAACAATACGAAAGAATCCTAAGGTCCGATCGTAATGGGTATACTGTCCACGATTGACTCGTTTTCAGAACCTGGCTTTATGGGATTTTTGGGAGTATCCAATAAAGTATATCAGTAAAGGTCTTGTAGGAGTATTAGTAAATCACATGATGTGAAGCTTTATGGCAATACTTATAGGAAAGGGCGATGAGGGGGGTAATGGGAGGTGGAAGGCGAAAAGAAAAAAGGTGTGAGCAACACCATCACATACATACACAGTGCATTGAAATATTTATCAATTATTGAATGATTGACTAGAAAGGAACATTGCAAAATAATGTCTTCATAATAGTATAATTGAAAATAGCAAAATATGACATGATATTCCCAAATAACGGACAATATTAATGTAATTGTTAGTTTGGCTTATATTCATGTTAACTTCATATTTTACTATTATTAATACTATCGTCATTATTATTTCTCTCATCGGCAAACGGATCTTCTGGGTGACCTGCCAGGCTATAACGAAAACGATGGTTAGTGCTTCCAATTTATTCACTAAGTTGTTATTCATATTGTTATGTATGTTAATTAATTCAAAAACAAATCTTACTCTGAAAGGCCTTAAAAGGCCTGATGTTAAGGTGCTAAGGTGACTTTGCCCCCTTGAAGAGATTAAAATTGCTTTCATCTAGCTGTTCCATGATCTAGGTATCGAATAAGTGCAGGAACCTAATGTCTAACCCTCCCAACCTCGTCATTTATCCTTTCTTTCCAGGGGACCACTTGAATGCTTCAGGTTAACAAGTCCCCTATTCTCTTCTCATCAATCCATCCTCACTTTCTTTTTGAGCTTCAAAATTCCGATACTTGGGAGATGGCCAATTTGCATTACAGAGTAGTACAGAGGATATGGGAATGGTGGTGTAGTGGCAAATGGTGCACTCACTCACACACACACATGTTCACAAGTTCGAATCTCGGATCGATACAGTCTAGGGCAAACAGGGGAATGTCTTTCATACCTCCAAAATGGTTATTTGGGATCAGTCCCGTCAAGTCATTGTAGGCCACATACACATTCAATACGCAATTAGGATTCTAAATGGAAGACGAATCTGGGGCGTATCCCGCCGACGGGATTAACCCCCGAAAGACATTTGTCCTTCTATAGAGAGATATAGAGACGAATACTCACAAATCATTGAAGAATAGTCTTTGACGGTGTTTTGTGGATTCTAGCAGTTCGATGTCATCACAAGTCAATTCAAAGTCGAATAGCTGCAAAATAATTTTACTGCTGAACAGACAGTATATTATGATAGAAATACCTGGAAGTTTTCGACGATTCTTGATGGACTAACTGACTTCGGTATGATGGCGATGTTACGATCCACTAAATAACGAAGCAAAATCTGAAATGATGGGTAATCAAATCTTGGCTTCATACCTAGGTCCACTCCAAGTGGTTGTTCCATACCTGAGCCGGGGTCTTGGAGTATTTCTTGGCCAACTCCTTTACGTATTCATCTTCGAATGCATTAGGCGCAGGTGCCCAGTCATTTTTTCTAAAGGAGAGTGTACTGTCAGATGTACCGGTAATGTTTTCATCCCTTTAGGCTCTAGACAGTGAAGGTGAAAGTTAGCAATCTCAAAATATTCCAAATCGAGTGGTATGTTTTAGGCAAAAAATGGGATTTTATATTTAAATTAGCACGGATAGTAAGTCTGCTGCAGCTGCTTTATCGGCTGAAAGTTTAAGGTAGCTCATAACTTTCAAAAGGGAATAAGGAGTTAATCTCTGGCTGCTGTCTTGTGATACAGCAGGCTCGACTATTCTGCTTTGTTTGCGAAGTCTATACATAGACTCTCAGGATGACAATGAAAAAACATTTGGATAGGGGTGAAACTTTTTTATTCATCGAAACGTTGTTGCCTCAATTCAGGTGGTAATCAAGTCGAGGAAGCTTAGGAATATTGTCACTATCAAATAAGGCCCAAGGTATGGAGGGAGTTCGGCCATTTCTTCACTGGGTCCCCCAAAATCGGTGCCCATGCAGAATTAGGTAGAAGTTTACTATGAATCGTGTTCCTGAAGAAAAGACTGGTTTCACAAAAAAAGCTCACATTCCAGGCATAGTGAAGTTGACTCGTCCAGGTGATCCCAATGATGCATAAGAGGTAAGAGAGATATTATGCTTCTTACAGACCTCCTGCAGTTCATGCTGTGGCCAATAGAGGTGAAGCTCAACCTGAACCACTTACGAATATAAAAATCTATGGCGCCATCCTGTGGTAAAATACTAACTAAATCAAACCTGGCAATTATGGATAGGCACGGAGGCGGTTTTCATGACCCGTTCGATCTGCTCACCATTCCAGTTAGATACGCCAATGGCTTTGGCTAGCCCCTTCTTGTATACACCTTCCAAACCGCGCCATATGTCGTGTACTGGGACGTCATGGTTCTGCGCCGACATTTCATGCTGGAATCATAGTGGTCATAGTAAGTCGTTCATTCCCAGGATGAGACACTTCGAAACCATTTCGGAGTTCCGGGGCATGCAGGGAAAATCTACATAGTTTTGCACTCACATTGAAACATACTGGCATATGAGCAAGGTAGAGATCGACATAGTCGAGCTGAAGATGGCGGAGGGATTCACGTATGGCTCCCTCTGTGTCATCCGGATGCATATGGGTAGCCCATACCTACAAAAATGAAAATTACTGTTCAAATGGTTCCAAGATGTCAGGGGATCAAAGGGATTCCGAATTTATGGCAGGGCCGCGATAAGTTTTTTTCTCTATACATTCCCTCAAAGTTTCAAAAGCCAGAATGAAGGTACCTTAGTTGTAATAAACAGTTCCTCGCGAGTGACTTTTCCTGCTTGAATCAACTCTTTGATGGCTTCACCGATTGCCTCTTCATTTTGATAAACTGCAGCTGTATCAATCAGGCGGTAACCAGCCTCTATGGCAGCTTTTGTAGCTGTTTTTACTTCAGCAGGGCTTGACTGGAATAATGAATAATCGTTAAAATCGCAGTGCTTGTAACATTTACAAGTTGAATTCGATTCCAGATGCTGTAAGAAACCAAATTAAATTAAATGCATCTTTTGTAAGACGGGGTAGGGTGGCGACAAGTTGCGCACTATCACACATGCATGTTCCTAGATCAAAGCCATTGATACTCGCTTAGGTAAGTCGTGCCCTCCATCTATTAGCAACTGATTTGCACCAGACTCGTCTTGAAGAATAGAAGTGCTGACTTTTGGCGTTGGCTCTCCATCGCAAGTCATTGTACAGGCAACATACGCACTCAATACCCCACCACGTTTCCGTATGAAAGGCGAATGCGGGGCGCATCCTTCAGATGGGATTGATTAACGCCCCAAGACTTCATCCTTTAGGCTTTAGACTTACCTGCCATGTTCCCAACCCGACTTGTGGCATTTTCCTGCAATTGGAAAGTGTGATCGTAGGTCCTGCGACGGTCATTGCGATTCTGCAAACAGGAAATATTTTACTTTCCTCCACTCACACTTGAAAATTCCAATATGATCGGTAACTGATAAAGTACGTGGAGACATCACTGGGCTGTAAAGGTTAGGGTCGATGTTTTGTTTATTTTTTCGTTCTTGATCTTTGTATTCTATGGGTACATAAAACGAGGGCGTATCACTCGTATCACTGACTGGATTTCGTTAGAGTTACTCAAAAAATGCTCTTTACGCATATTCCGCCGCTCTATTTACTTTTTCCTTATTGTTGTTTATCTCATTGGCGACCGCGCTATTTTAGCGTGTCTAGCGTGTGGGACCGAGCGCATTTTTCGCGGGCTGCTGCTGTTGCCCGCTGGCGGGCCACACGGTCCCAGGAGCAAGTCAATTTTTTCGTAAGCATTTCCAGCCGACAAAAAAGTTTTTTTAAATGTGGCATGTAAAGGTTACAAGTCATACACACTATTTAGAGCTACGTTATGGCATCTAATGTTGTTTCCGATTGTTCGAAGGGGGGTGAGATGAGGTTTACCAAATCATTTCCAAATGCGACTCTGTCTAGACACGAGGATACAGACAAAATGAGAATGGCATGTTTCGAATCATCGGATACCCAGCAAAATCCCTTTACATTCTTTTTGCACCTTTTTACAACCTTTTTTACGGCCTTTAGTTTTCCTCCTTTACCAATGCTCGCAGAAGTAACTTTGCTTTCTCTTATTACTAAAGTCAGAAGTAAGCGTTTCACGGACCACTGCTCTTCAAGATTCTATAGTAGCTCATAAACCTGCTCGATACTTGAAAGGGTATACGGGCCACGCGGTCGTCAATGGGTTGTATTCGGGAAGTACATAAATTCATGATCGTATAGCTTGTAAAAGTCACCTGACTTGACTTCGTGATACTCAAAACTCTGTGCATCAAAGTGTGTCCAGAATTCAAACTGTAGGGGTGTGATGCAGTTAGACCTATCATATGGACCTCTTTGGCAGAAGTCACCGGTTAACCCAAAAAAGTAAGGGAGGACTTTCCTTTGTTTTTTTTTGACTATTTGTAAGTCAAATTAAAGCACGTGTCAAAAGTGCCGTTGTTGAGAACCATGCTCTGCGAGCCATTCTTCTCTTTTCAATTACCGTATTAGCAAATGTACCCGAAGATTCGATAAAGAAACACCCTCTTTGAACTGATAACGACAGCGCATTCCATTAAAAGAACGGCGATGAACCGCATAGAAAAGATGATTTGGTTGATCTTTGCACTGGTCAGGTTGGCACACGGAGCGTAGGCGATAGGAATAATTTTTCAGGTTTGCGGATAATTAGGAAAGCACAAGTGTGACTTGGTAATGATTTTTATGGAATGATTTTCCTCTCCCTGGTTTTCAAAAGAGAAATCAAAAAAGACGAAAGGTATTCAAGACATCTGTGAGGGTAGTTCATTCATTGGTCACGATAGTTGAATGTCAGCCTTGGAATGCAGAATGCTGAAGGAAGATCAGTGAGCGTCGGATAAGATCAATGTAGAAGAAGAGATCGGTATTTCCGTTGCAGACCACAATAGTTTGAGTGATTCCTAGTAATCTAACTGGATTCTATTTCATTATTTGTATCTTACGGACGTCACTGTAAATCACCACTCGGTTAACTGATATTCAATTTTTACAGAACCTAAGAAATGAGCTCTACAGGGACTTTGTAGTAATTTGGAGTACATAGTTCAAAAAACCTCGTGGAATTGCCGCTGCGATCACTAAAGGGCGCAGAAAATTATGTTGAGTTCTTCTCAAGTCAAAAGTCGTATTTGATCATTCGAGATGATGGAGGTCGCAGTAGGCATTCAATTGAAAGTATGCAATGCTCTGTATCCCTGAAAGTTGGAGAGTTTCAAGAATTTCTTCTTCTTCCTCTCCTTCTCTCTCTCTTTCTCCTCCTCTCTCGCTCTCTTTCTCTCCCTCTTTTATAAGGAATATCGGTGATGTTACCTCAAAAATGACCCTACGTGTGTGGTGCTAATGATAACAATTAAAAGTTAAAAGCATATTCGAAGTGAATCTGAAGTATCTTTATATATACGACGGCAATCTCGTCAAAGTCTTAAAAATGATAACAACAATTATGTTCACAGCACAGAATGTAGAACACAAAGATCAAACTGTTACAAAATTGACCACGTGACGCGCCATTTTATCAGAGATCATCTTACATCCCTATCTTACCTTTGGCGGAACCATGAAATTGTGCTAAAACGCTTTATCAGATTTAGTGGGCCGATTGAACTTCTAGAACATATGAACAATCAACCATATCCCGAATGCCTGCAGATAAGAAAAGGCAAAAATCGTTTTGCTCTCCTGATTGCCGTTGGATGGAATGATGCGATTTTTATAAATTCTGGTATTAATGCGGTAAATAATTAAATAAAACACATCGAATGTGAGATCAATGTCTCCCTAGACCAACCAAGCATTCCATCCATCCGGGGCGTTTGCTTGATATCAGGATGAAAGCTTTATCTGTCCATGTGTAGTCCATACAAGTCATTGCATTGGCCGGCATGAAAAACGAGAAGATTTGAGCTTTTTCACTTGCAGAGATGGGGTGTTTCCAGTTGAATGGTCCTCGGGCGAATTTCGTAGTCTACTGTATTATATTAACTAAAAACAAAAATCTTTTGTTATTCTGTAGTTTTTGATATGTTTATAACAGGAAATCGTGGAACTCATAGTATTCACCAAGCACTAAGAGTTGATCGCCGTCGCTTTGAGTCATGTTTAATTCATCCATCATCCCTCATGTGTAAGAAAAGGATCGTTGTGAATGGCACTACCGCCGAATAAATGGTCATAAGTTCCCAGGTTATGTCTGACTGTAGTATTCTTTACATGCATACCCTCTGAGCACAACGGTATAGCGCCAAAGCGCTGTTTAATCTTGTCGATCGTTTTCTGATACTTCACGATTGACCAGAAGCGGTGGTCCGCTCGCCTTTGAGTTACCATTTCGATACTTATGCAGATTATCTTTTTGTGAACTTTACTCATTCCTTATCAGCCATTAGTTTAATTGCGTTGCCTTATCTGATAGGAACGACTTCTCCACTTTGAAGGTGTGCGGCTTCAGCAAATGACCTACTCCGCATGGTGCTAAAACGGATCTAGTTGTCCACAATCACAGAAATATTCGATAAGTAGGTGGAATCATCTTTGAGTCATGCCATTTAGGATAGGTGAATAAAACTGTGCTTTGACTTTTCGTTGAATCGCGCCTAATCTTTAATCAAACATCAGAGGGCATCCTGTCCTATTTTATATCTGTGCCGAAGGAAAAGCGCTATTCTCGCGCTTAGTTTTGGAAGCCTGACAGTTTCAGCGATAACATCCTCGAACCCTCCCGTCGTAGAAGTAATATACGCGCTGAATATTTTTTTGTCAAGAAGGGTTGGGATGAATACTCTGGACTCTGGCTAGATGATTACACCACATGTGGTCTTTAAGTCTCACAATGTTGGCGAGTTATGGACAAAACTTCGGCTTCGGACGGGACTCGAATCCGTACTTGTGCCATCAGGGCACCGTGTTCTTATTCGTTACAATACCGAGATCCAGACACAATAATTTTTGATTTTTGTTACTGGAAATGTAATGAAATTCCAAGACCACCGTCGTAAAGAAAATGTCGAAGTGAGGGGTATAAAGAGCCAACATAATAGAAAAGCCAAAATACCTGTTCCCATTAAAATAATAAATCCAGGAGAAATTACGATTCATTCGAATAACAGCTTCTGTGAAGTCTTTTTCGCTCTCTGAACTCTGTGCCAGCGTTCTACTGAGAAAGAAACCGTTGTGTTGTGAGATACATTGTGGTAACCTTGAACTTCTCAACTACGGAGAAAACAACCTGCTTGCAGAGCAATCTTTTCCATTAAAAAGCGTGATTCCAGGCTGTTTACTGTTGTACTACTTTCGTTATTCTCTTGTGAAGGTAACAACAATAAACAAATAGTTGTTTTGAGAAACTTACTGAGCAAGAAGCATTGTACAGTTACATATGTTCGCAGAACCCTAAAGGTTCCTTATGGTGAATGTAGTACAGGATTACGAGTTCAGCCATCTACTAAAGTGTCAGGAAAGTTACACAGAAAACCTAGATACTAAGAATAAGTGGGACAAAAGGGTATAATTGGGAGGAATTCATTTCGTTACTTTACTCATTTGGATTACGACATAAACAATACACAAAAGGGTAATGTTGGACGGCTAAGGTGGCGATAGCAGATCAGGACCTGAACATATGGGTGCACAAGTTCTTAAGACAGCTCTTCCAGACTTGTATTCTGGAGCAGGCACTAATCTGTGGATCGAATGAGTAAAAAGAGCTTGACCATTACTTCCAAGGGGATCGCGACAACGACAAAACCACTGCTATTTTATTCTACGCTCTCGATTGAAATGTTTACATTCAGGGGTGCTCCAAAATTACGTCCATTAAGGATTTCATCCGAAGTGCGAATCGAAATGAAAGTGAAAACTCGTCCGGCTCAGTTGATTAGGGTTTCCTTTCCGCAGCAAATGGGTCCTCGGGGTGACCTTCCATGCTGAAATTACGTTCATTAAGCTAATTGTTAGTATTCAGTGGCAAATAAGAGTCATCCACGCCAGGCAAGTATAAATGGATAGAAGTTGGTTGAGAACTTTTCCATAGCTCTGTAGATCGGCCTTTATCATATCTCACATTTGTTCGAGACTTTAAGAATGTGGACGTATTTGCATGCCACAGCTCCGTTTACTTGCGTTGTGCTTACATAGCCAAAACTAGTTCAAATTGTGTTTTCGTTTTAGGGGTACAGCCTGTAGAGTAGGTGAATCTCGAGTAGTGGAACCTGAACCGAAAAGTAGAAATAGTTGCCTTGAAACGTCTTAGGGAATATGGATTAGAATGTGCCATCGGTGTCATTCTTCCGAATCTGGGTCACCGAACATGTGTGGTTTAAAATGGCGCATCCTGAGCCATCCTGCTGGTGGAGGTGGAAGCTGTAGGTTATAGGTCTTCCCCTGTCCCATCCTATTGCCAGTCTCGAGATTAGCTGATAAAAGTTAAAACTTACAAATCATTCAAGAAAAGTCTTTGACGGTGTTTTGACGATTCCAACAACTTTATCTCTTCATTAGTCAATGCGAAATCGAATAGCTACAAATTACATCCGTTGAAAATAGCGATATCAAAAACTAACTTGAGGCTCACCTTGAAATTCTCGACGATTCGTGATGGTGTGATAGATTTCGGTATGACAGCAATATTTCTATCGATCAGGTATCGTAACAGGATCTGATAATGATAAAATTCGTGGTACGCGACAGAAACTCTATCCCTCATGTTCCATAGCACGATAAAACGCTGAGTATGATTTCCTCGATGGAGCACTAATTTTGCAATTGCATGATAATACTTTTTTATCGGGCTCTTTAACAAGAGAAGAGAAATGCTGTGAGAAAGAAATTTGTGAGCATTGCTGTCAAGCAATTACTTTTACGCTTTCATATCTCCAAGTACCCCAATCTTCTCTTCCCGTCTCTTTTCACGCAAAGTTTACTATCTTTAGAAATTGTATTATTGTTAAATACGATTATGGCAATGGTCAATACGAATGTTGTCTTCCTCCGGACGTCTATGACTTATCTAGAGTTGTTTAGTATTTACATATGAAGTCATAAATATCGCCTAAGAATGAATACTGGTAATGGATAGTAACAGCATTTCTACAACATTTATAATATCATACCTGTGCTGGAGTTTTAGTGTACTTGAAAGCTAATCGTTTCACTTGTGGATCTTCCATAGCATTCGGTGCTGGCGCCCATTCAGCATCCCTTTGAAAATCAATGCTACATTTTGAAAACAAATATAATTGTTTGTACAAATGCGTGTTTGTGCGCAAAAGTGCCCAAAAATGTATCTGGGCAGGGCTAAGCATCACGCTGAAGTATTCAAAAGTATTTATCCCAAAATTACCATTACACTATAAGGCTTCTCCTCTGCAGGCGATTTCCAAGGATGCACAGGAAGAAAATAGTTAAGCGCATTACCGTGGTACTATCAGGACTCACCCTGCTTTGAAGTCTGTTCGACCAGGCGACCCTAACGATGCATATGAAGTGACGGAAATATTGTGTTTTTTACAAAGGTCATGTAGCTCGTGTTGAGGCCAGTAAAGGTGTAGTTCTACCTAAAATACCCAATTTGTCGCAGTATTCTTCTATTTTGCGAAAAGATCTCGGGTAGCGTCATACCTGGCAGTTGTGAATCGGTACTGTAGCAGTTTTAAGCGTGCGCTCAATCTGTTCACCGTTCCAATTTGATACGCCAATTGCTCTAGCCAATCCTTTTTTGTACACATCTTCTAGACCATGCCATATGTCTTGGACGGTCACAGAGTGGTCCTGGGCAGTCATGTCGTGCTGAAGAGCGAAATTAAGATGCGCGTTGGGATATGGAGAGCAAAGAAACTTCTTAAAATAGGTAAACATTGAGAAGTGAGGATAGGGATAACCTAAAGAAATGTGTATGTACGTTACCCGCTCCTCTGGTGGTTAGCATAGCGCCATTGTTAGGTTTTGTTGTCTGTCTGGTCGAAGATGATTTTATCGGCTCAGTTTTTTTTAGTTTTGCCCTAATTAACTTTCTTAATTTAATAATCTTCTAATGAATAATTATTCCAAGGTGTTAAGTACTGAAACTAATTTCTTTTTGTAATAATTTCAATTTAAAATGGGGAGCTGAGTTAGACTTTTGATTTTTCGTGAGAAAAGGAGGTAAAAATGCAGTTGACACAAATGGATTGTACTTACATTGAAACATGTTGGCATGTGTGCCAGTAAAAGGTCGACATAACCCAACTGAAGCCGTCCAAGGGATTCGCGTATACCATCTTCAATGTCGTTCGGGTGTAGATGAGTTACCCACAGCTGAAAATTCGAAAGTCCATTTCTCAATTGTTTTAGGAACGAAATTCTGATGTAACCTTTCGCGCAGCGAACTTGCCATCTTCAACAACTGCATAGTTGCTTTGAAAATGTTTGCTTTGAAATTAAATGTGCCCAAAACCTCGTCTTGCTGTCACGATTTGCTAGGTGTTTCTGTTGGTGAGTGTGTGTATGTTTGTGTGTACGTGACTCTCTCTGTATGTCAGTGTGTGTGTGTCGGTGTGTGTGACGCAGTGTGTCGGTTTAACGATGTTTGTGTATTTGGATGTATTTGGGTGTAACAAGAGAGAAGGAATTTTGATTGAGTTTGCTTGCTTACTTAGTGGGAGGACCCGCGCTCCAAGTGAAGACCAAGGGAAAGCCCATCATGGGCTTGTCAGGTGATTTGAGTGATAATGATGCTGATTCCAACTATGTATGTAGGCCGCTTTCTACTTTGTCACTAAAAGGAAAGCTTGGACGAGTAATCCCATTAATTAGTAGTATAAGTGTAGGTGTAGTTTCATAGTTTTTGTTGTGGACACGCTCAGAAAAAAAACGCTTGGTTACCCAGCTAATATCATGCCTCATTAGACACAATATTTGAGGGATGTCGAATGCGTGGCGCGTATTCCCCAACAAACCACCTACAAATCTTTTCCTTACTATTAATTAGTATTGCTGGCTCTGCTTTACCTCTGA